AAACTAATAGGGGATAATGATAATAAGTGAACTTAAATGTGAGATTTCTCTCATTTTTCTAATATATAATATAATATTAAAATTAAACATTAAAGAATGTTCAAACTCAAAACAATTGGACCGGCCATTTTCTGGCCCACACAAAAAATAACTAACCCGACCTGATCCATTAAATAATAAAATTATGGATTAGCCTGGAAGGAGTGTGCTAGCCCATATTAACAGCTCTACGATGTTTCTTTCAAAGATGATTTCTTATGATTTCTTTGAAGGAACTTGCTTATAAAAGAAAAACCTATATGATTTAAGTCAAGACTTTACATAATGTTTTATGAATTATATTTGGGACTCACTATAATTTGAGCTTAAATTCCATAGTATGATTTATGAATTATTATTATTATTATTATTTTTTTGTTTTTCATTTGTTGTCCAGAATTCATATTAGAGCTCTTATTAAATTCGGATCACGCTTTGAAAAGCTCATTCGAAAGATGACGTTTGCAACAAAATTTTCTCCATACCCCCGAGACGTGCGATGATTAAGCCATAATCTCATTACATGCATGATGTTTATACAACTTATGATCTCGATTCATGCTAAGACAATATTCAACTCTCACTACCTTAAAGAAGATATTAAGCATTAAAATTAAGGTTGAATAATTACCTTTTATCAAAACAGACCTTGAGAACCATATGAGAGTATGTAATTGTATATACGTGTATAAACAAGTCACACATAGACTACAAATTGATAAAAAGGTATATATTACATATATATGGGTGTAATTGTACAAATAAATGTTGCACAATTTAATTGTTCTTTTTAAAACAGATTAAGAATTACAATCTTAAAAAATATCATAACATTAATTATTTTTTATCATAAAACAACAAAGTTTTTTGAAATAATAATCACTAACATTAATTATTATCGACCAGTCTGAGGCCTAGGAGCTGGTCTTTGGCCTGGAGGTCTTGAAACATTTGCTCTTCCTCCATCATTCTCTTCTCCTTCTACATTTTTTTGGTACATCACAATCATTTTATTATTTCAAAAAAAAAGTATGTTAAAAAACGTAATAATTAAACGAATAAAAGTGTATTATCTCTAAGTGATGTTACCTTTAGAAGATTTTCCACAAGAAACAATGTATACAAACAAATCTTCAATCTTCTTTATATCTATGAAGAAATTAGCCATTTTTATTCCTTTTCCTTAGCTAAATTATCTCTCATGGATCAAATGGGATTTATAATAGAATAATGTTGAAAGGTTCAATATTAAATACTATACTTTTTATTTAAATTATAATCTAGTTGAGAACGTTACAAGTTGTTAGTTCGTAAATCATTATTCTCAATGTCTCAATTTATATTATACTATTCGTTTTTCAAAAGTCAAACTGTTTAAGTTTGATCAGAAATTTGCGTGCGAAATTTTTAATTTTTTAAAAATAAAATTTATTTATGTGTAAATTACATAAAAAGTACTATAAGTAAATAATTGATAATTCAAAATATTTAAAAGATTTATAAAAAAATACGATAAAAATTAAATTTATTTAAATCTTGTAATTCAAAAAAGTATCTAATAAAATGGAATGAAGGGAATAATATTTATTATTTTTTTATATATACAAGGGGCCTATTTATGTACAAGTTGGAATTGAAGATGATTTTTATATTTTAAATTGTATAAAATTCATGTATGAACGTAGACATATTCTTGAGTACTGTTAGTTTACAATTTGACATATTTTATATTTCAAACTATATTACAAGAGGGAATAAACACACGTCACGTCAACATGTCCCGTTTGGCGTATAAGAAGGTATTCTACGGTGTTTTAGAAACTGCTAAAAGTATTTTGTTTATGAAAAATATTTTAAAAAATAAGTTAATTTCTTATTTATTTACTTGGGTTCAATATATAATTAAAAATATTTTATATATAATTAAAAAAAATTATTATTGGTTAGGGGTTTGGGGTGGAGGGGATGGAGATTACTTGGATAGAGGTGAAGTCACTTTCAATTAAAATTAATTCTTTTTATACAAATGTCAATGATACTTTTCTTTTGTTTTCTTCCTCTATTTTTGTAAATTTATATCAATTATGTTTGTTGTTATGCTTTCTCACGAAATATTTTCATTATAAAAGGAGACAATACAAATTTATAAGTATATATTCTAATAGTTTTTATAAGAACTTTATAAGTATAAATCATATTTTTTAAAAAATATTTTTATCAAAATTTATAACCAAACGCATTATAATTACTTCACCCAAAGTGACTTGTCAATTTTTTTAAAAAAATTTGTAACCAAACGCCAGCGAAAATAAGGTGTATTGAAGGATGAAGACATAATCAAATATAATAAATCACTTATAAAACTTGTGTAACGACTCGAACTATCATTATCTGGGAGGAAAAAAACTTTGGGAAATTCGGGGCCATTATCTCGCCACAACAGACAAGGGGCCGCTGGGGCGGCAACACCAGAGCGGGATAGGCGAGACAACATCTTTCTAAAATACCTAAATAAGTCGTAAAACACTCTAGAAACCTCCAAAAGACTGCTCTAAGCTTGAGAATGAAGGAGAAGGAGATTTCTAGCTAGGGAATGGAGAGATCTTACGGATTCTTGGCCAAATTCACCGTGACGAAGCCCGAAAAATAGGAATTGAAGCCAATAACTCCGTGCAACTGCTTGGCGCCCAGGTAGGCTAGGTTTTATGAATTGAGTAGTTTAAATTTGTGTTCACTGCATAATATATGTAAATCAAGTGTAGGATTATGCGTAGACCTTCGTGCACAGAATGATTTAAGATTTTAAACCTTAAAAAGAAGCCTCAGACGATGAATTAGGGCTGAGTATGGTGGAATTAGGGTTTTGCATGAGGTATGAGACGAGAACGTAACCAACGTAGGTGATGATTGTGATATGTTTGTGTGATATATGCATGTTCTTGCTTCATTATGATACTTGTATATGTATGAATGTTATAATATTGATCACACTTGTTGTAAATGAGATATATGAACGATACTTGCTAGAATTGATGACGTTAATGTATGATCTTGATGGTATACTTGTAATATTGATTGTGGTGTGTCTTTGGGATCAATTGTCACGTTCCGGCATAACTAACTTGGATCTGTTGTAACTTTTCGGCATCATTTGAATTAGATTGCCACGTTCTGGCATAATTTGAATCGAATTGACACGTTCCGACATAATATTGGATTAAATTGTCACGTTTCAGCATAAATATGAAATCAAATTGCCACGTTTCGACAATATAACAGTTTGGGTTTGAGTTCGACCAACTACTTGACATAATTGTTAAAATTGAGAATTGTGAAATACATTATTGTTCTTCATATCGAGGTTATTGTATATGTTCTATTTCTGCAATTGATGTTATGATTGTGTGGAATCATATATGTTGCACTTAGGAATTATATGTTGTGATGGGTTATGTTTGGTTGTGTTAGAAGAACTCTGGGTTGTTGGGTGTTGTAATTACGGAAGAGAAGTAGATGTAACGTTTGTGGGGAAGAGTGTGTAGGTGGAAAAAAGATTGAGGTTAGTGGTAAGGAATTTGTGGGGTGTAGTATGTGACCATGATTGAGAAAGGTGCCAAGGAGGTAAGAGTGAGTGATGAGCGGTTAATTGAAGTGCTCATGGGTGAAATTTGTGGTTCAATGAGGTGTTAGCATGTTTTAGGCTATGATCATGAACTGGGAGAGTAAGCTGATTGAGAAGGCGGTTAGTAACTAGAGAATTTAGGTTCTAAGAAAAAGGGTAAAGGTGGAGAAGCGAGTGGTCAATTTCATATAATCTTATTACTTGATTACTTATGTTATGCGGTGGGTGTCGGATTGACTGATGATGCCTACCAGTACATGTGTTTCTACTGATACTACTCTTGCTATGTCATTTGACATAGTTTAGATACAGGATTGGTGATGTTTTATTAGGTGAACAGGAAGAAATTTCCAGCAGCTTCTATTATTTCTTCTGCATAGTGGGAGTTGTGTCTTTTGTTTTATTATCCAGTTATACTCTTAGTAGCTCTCGTACCTGTTTAGACTAGATCCATGAGAGATGTTTAAATTACCTGATAGTTTAATTAGTAGTGTGTCCAAGGAGTTTATATATAAATCATAGTGTTATATTTATTTCGTTTTTCGTTACATTTTCCGCTTATTTTAATTTTTGGGATATGAGGGTCGTTCTACTATTTAGGTGATATAGTGGGTGCTCGCACGATCTGGTGGGGTAGATGATGACAATTTGTTTCCTCTTTTTTTTCTAAGAAAAATCATCTTCGTCTTATTTAAGATACTTGTGATTCCTAGAAAAAATATTTTCAAATTTTTATCAATCGTACATGAAATCACTTGAAATTTTTTTTTATGGAAATGTTTTCCTTAATAGAACACACTCTAATTAAATAGGTGTTTGGCTATTATGATATAAGATCCCAATTTCATATTTTGATTTCTAATAAGCAGTTGTTTGTGAAATCAGCACAAAAAATTTAACTTCAACTACAAAGTTCAAATTTCAAATAGTAATTTCAACTCTTTTTTAAATGCAAAATTTGACTAGTAAATTTATATAAAAACTCGATATGTAAAATTCAATCAAACAACTTTATAAAAAAAATTGGCAAACCAAATTGAAGTAAATCAAAGTTTGCCTGTTTCACTAAATCCGTCGATTTTGGGTCGAATTTAATAAAAAAAATCGAGATCATCTATCAATTTATTACCTTGCAAACAGATATCTTTAAAATGCTATCAATTAATGGAGGTAAAATGATAAATACTAAACTTACTATATCGAAATCACTGTTTTTTATTAATAAATGTACCAAACCAAAATTTGACAAGTAAAAAGGGACAGAGAAAATAAAAAATTTTAAACTTCTAATCTTAGACTAAAGAATTTAATTATTTCTTATGACATTTTTTCAAAAAAATATATTAATCATTACCATATTTATAAAAAAAAAAAAGGAAGAGAAAAACAAACAAAGAAACAAGAAGAATATTCCTTACACATTACAATATTAAAAATGAGAAGAACAAACCAAAATAAAACCCTAGAAAAAATAGCTAGGCTTGTTGAAATAATTATCACAATATTGAAATAATTAATCTCAACCAGTCTTAGGTTTAGGAGCTGATCTTTTTCCTGGACGTGTTGAAAAATTTGCTCTGTCCTCTTCATTAGCATTTTCCTCCTCCTCTTCTTCTTCTTCGGTTTGTTCTTGTTCTTGTTTTTGAGAATTTTCTTTAGATTTATCTACTTCTTGACCTTGTTGAGCAATAATATTTTCTTTTTCTTGATTTTGTGTACTATTTTCTGCTTGTGTTTCTACTACTTGGTCAACTTTTGATGGTTCTGAAAAAATTGAACACATATATATTAAAAGTATGAAAAAAAAATTTAAAGAAGTTCGATCAATCTTACAGAAGAGTTTTTTCACTTTATTGAATGAGAAATTGAACACACATATGTATTTAAATTATTTCAAGAAAATATTATATTGAAGATGTAATTAAATATATATAATGATGTGTTATCATTAACAATTCAAAACTTTTAGATAATACTCATGTGAAAGATCATGGGCCAACTAGAAGTTGGGGAAATAGTGCAATAAAATATTTTTAAAAGTTCTATATGGAGAGTTTTTCACTTTATTAAATGAAAAGAATTGTAGTATTTTCTCAAACCTAAAGGCTAAAATGATAATACGTTTTCCAACATTTAATAGAAACTAATATGACATAACTATAAAATAAGACAAAAACAACGCATGAAATGATCATATATTTCAATATAATTTCAAATACTTCAATATAATTTCAATCATTTCAATGCTAAACAACACAATAGTGTGAAAATTGAAAAAAATAAAAAATAAATTGAACTCGGCCATTAGAAAATACCGTTACAACATGACATATTTAAAATTACAAAAAAAATGTAATATTTTGATATTTTCGACATATTCAACCCTTACCATTAGAAGATTTTCCATCAGAAACAATGCTTATGGATGGATCTTCATTCTTGTTCTTTGTATCTTCAATGAACTCAGCCATCTTTTGTTTCTTGTTAGCTATTATCTCCCTTTGGATCAAATAAGCTTATATATAAGAGATTAAATATTGTAAGGTTCAATGCATACTCTCTATTTGAAATATAATATAGTTTGGAGAATGATACAAGTTGTATAAATCATTATTTTATTTTATAAAGGGGGCCTATCATATAATTAGTGTTCACATTATTCCTATCTTTCCTATGTGCAACTTGCAAGTTTGAAATGATGGTTTTTTTTTCTATTGCAATATTCATGTGTGAATGTAGATGTTCTTAATTGACTTAGCAATTTGATACAATGATGACTAATTAATTTATATTATTCTATTCAATTATCTTACAAGATGTCAATAAATGTCTGCTTGGAGTCTAAGAGGGTATTTTTTGGTAGATCTGATATAAAGAAAAATATTTTTTTTTTAATATAAAAATATACATTTTAAAAAAATTAGTTGATTTTTTTTCTCTTAGATATTATCTCACATGGATCAAATGGGATTTTAAGAGAACAAATGTTGGAAGGTTCAATATTATACATACTACTTCTTATTTATTTTTTATTTAAAAATATAAGCTAGTTGAGAATTATTATTACTTTATACAAGGGGCCTATTTGATTCCTTTTATCTTTCTTACATATATATAATATATGCCCAAGTTGGAAAGGAAGATAATTTCAGTATGGGCCTATCTGATTCCTTGTTTATCTTTCTTATATGCTCAAGTTGGAAAGGAAGATAATTTTTTTATTTATTTTTAATTGTATAATATGCATGTGTGGATATAAATATATTCATCAATATGAGTTGCGGTGTAGTGAAGGAACTGTTTTACTCTTAATTAAAGGTCTCGAACTCGAGACCTTGGATAGTATATGGAGAACATTCTATTGATAGTGTCACCTCTGAATGAAACCTACACTATGTGATTTAAATTTAGACTGAATTTATGTCAACCTCCACGCCTGATTAGAAAAAAAAACCATAATATATTTTGAGTATTACCAATTTGATTAATCAATTATGTTATTCTATTCAACTATCTTACAAGAGGGAATAAACATCAGGTCAACATGCCTGCTTGATAAATAAGAAGGTATTATAGGGGGCAGTTTGTTCAATGGGCTTTTAATCTGGTTATATCCGTTTCCTTTAGAGATTTAAGGTCAATAATTATTGGAAAAATTACTTAACTACACTCCTTTAATTATCTTAATAACCATTTATCCCTACTTATTATAAAAATTTCAAAAATCCCTTATTCCCCCCAATTAAAAAAAATATGAAAGATACATAAGGATTTTCCACCCTTTTTTCACCCAATTGGCAAGTTTTACTTTACTAAAACAAAATCCTATTTTCAAGCTACCCACTTCCCCATTAACAGCCCCAATTAAAATTTACCATATTATTTTTTATTCCTTTTTTATTTCCCTACGTTTTAGGTGTATAATTGTCTAATTTTAATTCCCCATTCCACGTTTGCAGTTTAACAAAATTTGAATTCAAGTACAAATTTGCAGCCATATCTATTTGATATTTTGTAGGAGTCTCCTTCTTTCTAACCAGATTTTCTAAGTTTTTTAAGGGCAAACATTTTTAGTCTCCTTCTTTCTCTTCATCGTGTGAGTTTACAAATATTATGGAAGAGTGTAAATCTGGAGATGGTAATTCACAACACCAACTGAAGATGACATTGTTAACATAGATTAGTAATTAGCTGAGACAGGATGAACAAGTTTTTATGTTGTTTTGTGTTGAAGACAATTATCTTTTGTGTTTTTTTAAAAGCTTATTGGTATTACAATAGTTTGTTAGTTATTAATGTTATGTGTTTTCAAGTTATTATTTTAGACACAGTTGTTGCTTTATAACGTTAAGGTACAAAATTTTATTGTTTTAGTTTAAATATTTTTGACAGTTAATTTACAAAATGAAGTATATGACACTTAAGATC